AGAAATTACACTACGGCAGCTGAAGTTAATTTCTAGGTTGTTATATGTGAGGGAATGAAAATTGTTCAAGAACCCCCTAATCTTATAAATTTTTTTTTAGATTTGTACTCATTTTGTTTTTTTTTAAATTTAATATATTTTGTTTTATGATCATGACTAAATTTTAAACATTTTTTGCTACACAATAATATAATTGTATATAAAAATACTAGCTAGGCGTTAATGGGGTTAAGGAAAATGGTCCATAATTATACCTATCACATGACAAAACTCAAAACTTGCTTAGGCGTCAAGAGGATAGAGACAATTTATTATACCGTAATAGGACAGTTGAGTTTATTAATCGAATAAACTACTTAGGTTGAAAATTTAAGGCTTTAATTTATGATTTATAGAGTATTTTTTTCGATAGAATACAAAGTAAAATAAACTTTTAAAGTTCCATGCAAATTAAGTTAATAATAATTAAGGATAAGAAAATTTTTTTTTCTATAATAATTCTAATTTTTAGTTTCCTTTTGAAAAACATTTACAATTATTAAATTTGGAAACTTATGTTTCAAGAAAATATTCAAATGAATATAATATATATATATATAATGTAATACACAATTTAACAAATGTTATTCAAACTATATAGAAACAGTAATATTAAAGTATGACGCAAATGGCAATGTTATTTGGAATATAACAACAGTGTTTCTAAAAAACACCAGAGGCTGATAAAACATTTCGTTAGCAAAAAACAATTTTGGTTAGCGTTGCATACGATAACAATTGTTCAATATTGCAAATATTCTTGAAATTTTCGAACACAATAAACCAAAGTGTTAATTATATTATCATACAGAGCTTTAAGTCGTAAAATCATTGTTAAACATGTTTCTTGTTTAAAGCAACCCCTTTCAAATAACAAAATAGATTTGGCACAAGTTGTACCTTGTGTTACCTATAAACTAAGGTGGTTAAGTAACTCTCGAAAAAATACAAAGATGGTCAACTAAAATTATGGCACAATACATATTTTCTAGTTGGACCGAGTGATAAGTTTTCCAAAATAAGAAAAAGCAATTGAAACTCATTCAACGGGGATTATATTATATTTGTTTTGGGGCCACTTTGGTTTCAACGATTCTTTTGGTATATTTTGTGTTTGACAACAAATGTTATACTTTTTAAGGGGAAAAGGATAGGTAATATTTGACAAAAAATGATCTAGTAGCCATTTTTAATATGCCGACTATAATTTTCAGGTGAAAAAATATTAATTTTTTGACTGAAAACTGAATAACGCTGGCTGTCCGAGGCTGGGCACAGTGGTCTGAAATAAAAATTAGATTGTCTTAACTAACATGTCTCAATCGAAAGAAGAAAAATTCCGATGTTATCCAATTTTATATTAAACGTTTCATTTTATATCAAGCCAATCAACAACATTGCATAACTTTCATAAAACAAAATAAACCATTAAATACATTAATCTGTATAGTTACCGTGCCACTGTTTTCTATTGATTTCAGATATCGCGGTAATTCGGTGCCATGTATATAGGTATATACATAGGAAGCGAAAATACACTATATGCAATAGAGTATATAATAATAGAGGTGTGAGGTATCGTTTCATTGGCTATAGTTATTATTATTATTATAGTTATTATTATAATTTATCAGATATTGATTTCTCTAATTTTAGGCAGCATGAAAAAAGAAAATTTTAATATAATACATTTAGTTTTGATGACTACTATAATACCTGATTACTGTTAAAAATCTATATTTTTTAGAAAGCTGAGATTGTTTTGGTGAAATCTAAAAAAAAACAGGAGTTAAACAACAACTTTATAACACCTATATTAAAAGCTTTTTGAATATTTGTCTTAATACAATCTCAAAAAATTAACAATAATGAAAACGTTTTTGGCTATATAATAGTAAATGTATATAAAATATAATTATGGGTAAAATCGGACCAAACTCCGCCGATTGTTTGAAAATTATACAGCAATATACAAGACAAATTTTTAGAAAATACATTTATCTTTAAGACTTTCTGTTACGCAAAAAAAAAATTAATGATTTTTTCAGAAAGCTGAAAACTTTTTCATATAATGTTAATATTGCAGTACGGTATTTATTTAGCTTCGATTCAAAGCGAGAAGGTATTGGTTTTACTCTGATGTGTGTTTTTTTTTTATCTGTATACGCTGTAACTTTTTTAATACTGAACCAATTCCTTCGAGCAGCAACTCTATAAGTCACAAATTTCATCTAGTTGGTACTTTGGGGGGGGGGGGGGGGGGGGGGGGGGGGGGGGGGGGGGGGGGGGGGGGTTGAAAAAGTTTACTTCTTCACAGACGAAATTTGAAAAAACAAAAAAAAACCGTACGAGTTTTTAAGTTAGAACTTTTACTGGCTATAATTTCGAGAAAAAAAGTCGGATCGAGTTGAAATTTAAAAGGAATAATTATTTTAAGACCTTTAAGTTGAAAATTTGTCAGTAGTTAGAACTCATATGTACCCATAACATATTAAACGAAAAACAAATTCGGCACTACAGTTTTTTTTTTTAATTGCCGGAAAACTGTGTTTTCGCAGATTGCGTATATTTTAACAAAAACACCTAACATCTTAAAAAAATTTTTTATCAATACATTAAAACAATTTTATGTATATCTATGCAGAATGATACTATTCAGTTTTGTGCTCAAGTACCACTTTTGATTTTTAGTTTACACAAATTTAATTTTTTTTTTTTACTAAAATTATTTTTAGCTGAGTGAAATTGAAAACTGATATTAAATTCGTAATCACCGACCCCATACACATAAAATTTAACTACTTTTGAAGGCTTTTACATACAAAATCCAGAAGAGTCACCGATATCTTCCTCCTCGTGCAAGTGATAGAAAGAAGACTACTTGCTTTGATTTGTTGTTGTGTATGCTTGTTCAAACGGTTACAGTTTATGTCCTAAATAAGAAAATTTTCAAAAACAACATCTTTTATCATCGACCTAGTTATATTATTTGAAGTCTCCAACGTTGAAACGGTTTTGATTATTATAAAATATCTTCACATAATATATACTTGCGCCGATTATAAGATGTAAATTGGCCAATCAGAAAGACAACGACGCACAGTGGTCTGAAATCTAAAGAACGCGATCGAAAATCAATTTTTCAAGTTAGACCTAGGGAGCTGAAATTTTTACCGTACAATAACAACAAAATGTGCTACTTAAAAATAATTTTTTTTTATATTTTATCACTGTACTTATTTTTTAAATTTCAGTTTATCTATTTGTCTGTTATAAAATAGACTAACTTGGATATTAATTAAACTACTCCAACATTTTTTTAAATATTATTTCATTATAAAACATGCTTACAAATGTTTAAACATATATTTTTTATTTTTTTTTTAATGAGCAATACTAATTATACCAAAATTCTTATTATAGTACTTTTTTTTTAGGTCTATAAGCCAGAGGAACTCTGAGGAACTTATGAAAACTATACTAAAATATTGTAATTTAGATAGCTGATAATATTAAACAGGTTTCAGCTGCCGAAACTTGCCGAACACGAGGATATGTTAATTTAAAAACGAATTAAGTAGTCTAAAGTCGAAAAAAAACGATAAATTGTGATACAAGTTGGTTTTTGTTTTAAAATAGTAAGAAGGCGGTCAAATTATATGTTTCCAAGGTTGCTGAGTTCAATTTTGACCTCAAGTATACCATACGCTCCTTATTTAAGGGAGGGGGGGGGGTCATTTGGGGATTTTTCGAAATTTTGTACAATTATCTATGTTACATATCAAATTATATGTTTTTGTGGCCGCCGAGTTTAAATTCGACCTGAGATATAATATACTCCTTTAATTAAGGGGGGCATATGAGGGATTTTTCGAAATTTTGTACAATTATCTATGTTACATATCAAATTATATGTTTTTGAGGTCGCTGAGTTCAAATTTGACCTTAGATATACAGTAAATATATACTACATAGTGTTATATAGTATAAAACGTAACCGTGTGTACCTACATTTAAATATATAAAATAATAATACATAATTATCTAGGATTTTATTGTAAATTTAAGGTAAATTTGAATTCAGTGACCACATAAATATGTAATTTGATGTGCAACTTTTGAGTTTTCTAAATTAAAAAAAAAAAATGTCCCCTTACCCTCCTAAGTAGAGGAATGATTTCCAATTTGAATTTAGCGACCCCTTAAACGTATAATTTAAATAAAAGAAGGTCTTCTTTAATGTTTATAAATCATACATTTAGTATGTATTATTTTCAATCGCGTTTTTTAAATTTCAGACCACTTTGCGACCTACATGAGTACCTCCTGTAGCTCCACCTACAAACACTGGACGAAAGCGTCCAGTTTTCGTCTTACAAAACCAATTGTAAAAGTTGATAAAGCTCTGGAAAATATCAGACACTATAAATATTCTGTCTAGTATTGTAAAATAACATGACAACTAAATTGCAATTTGCTTAAAGAAAAAATGAAGTAATCACAGTCCGTAGAGAACTATTAGATACAAGACAAAGTGGTCATAAACTAGCACCAAGTTGCAAGCGATTTGATCGTTATCGAAATGTATTAAACGTATTAAATCTGCTCTCTGTTGTTATTAACATTAGTTTATTATCGTTTTTCAAATGAAGTGGGTCATACCAGGTAATCGGAAAAGTCACGATTGTAAAGAAATATAACAAAACCATAGGTATATCATACAATCACTTGCCAATGTGCTGGCAGTAAAACAAAAAAAATTGTTTTTCCTATCCCCGTTGACTGTTATCGACACGGGTGAACAAGAAAAATATGTTATTGTAAAAAAAAAACCTACTCGGCCGTGGTAAAAAAAAAAATAAGAACACACCTTTGTGTGTACATAAGTACTGCAAATTTTTTTGCCAAAAACACGGTTTTGTATTTGTCTAGCGAACAACCGTAGACAACGCCACCGAAAAGAAACGTAGAAAATACCTATTTTAGAGTTTAGGTACCGACTTCGGTGCCAACAGTCTTAGAGCTACATTATTACAAGTACTCGATTGAATTTTTATCATCGTTTTAAATATATCTCATAATTATGCATTTCAAGTGCGCCCTTATTTTCTGCGCGCTGTATTTACTAACGTCAGCATGGGTAAGATTATGATACTGTGTTTGTATATTTTTTTTCTCGGATAGTATTATTTCAAAAATGTTACAGTCTATTTAAAGCCTAGCGGCTAAAATTATAAAACATGCAACATGCTTTAGCCTGCTGGTTCTTGAATAATGATTATTTTCAGATCTATAATATCCTTACTATATATATATATATATATATATATTAGATGATAGAGTAGTCTAAATTGTATGTTGTAGCCAAATGTTTTTAGACGTTTTTTAATATTTTCCCTAATCAGTTCATTGGCAACATTCACCTGGTTAGTTATTTTGGATAAATTCAACCATTAATTTTATTGAGCTCTCGTTGTGAAATTATTTTCATTTATTACGATGAATATTTGGTTACCCATTAAAAAAAAAAATATATCAATTTATGGATTTGTACATTTCATGGGTAACTTAAAACATTTTGAATGTATATAAATTTATCAATTATATAAAATATGGCTGTTAACAAGTAAATAATAAGTTTATAAAATAATTCAGGTATTTGGTGCACTGAATATAATTATTATTTTATAATAATTGTCCAGATCTAAAAAGACTTGCCTCAAGACATTTTATACACTTAAAATGTGACGCTATTTTCTGTCGTTTTCGAGCTGGGGGGGGGGGTTAATGCTGAAGCATGTTGCATGCTAAAATTAAATACATACCGATTGTATATGATACAGTGCAAATTAGTTTAAATCTGCTACGTCATCGGCAATAGATTCATTCTGTACGTTTACCAATACAATTGAAAGCCGCCATACTCTATTTCAGAGCACCGGACTGAACCGTGATCAATTAGAACTGTTGCAAGACCTGTATAAACCTTACAAACTGACTAGTAATGGAGTTAGTGTGCAGACAATCAGAGAACTTGTGGATAATGCTTTTGAAATGGAAGATTCTACCCTTGAGATTCGATTCCGTTCAGGTAACATGTTGCTAAACAATTATATTATACCTATCTGTTGGGAAATTTAGGTCTACCGTTATGGCCGTTAAGGGACATACGCTCTTTACATTAGAGTACGTAGTTAAGAGTAATTAATTTGGAGTACCTAATATTTTATCTCTAATATATAATCACTTACAACCGCTAGATCACGCCACATGCACAAATTTCCCTCGGTAACATTCTGCTCGATGCCGATTTTGTCAAAACCTGAACCTATTTATGTTGAATATTTATTTCTAAATCATTCATAAACAAAATATATACGTTACCATTTATGTTTTAAAAGTTGATATAGGTCTAGAATAAAATGTTAACTACATTGAGTTTAACATTATTGATAGTTTTTGTAAAAAAAAAGAGGTGTAGTTGTAGGAGCTACCAATATTCTTGTGCTGCTAGAGAAAATTCAAGAAAGATTACAAGAATGTTTGCAAGGCTCTATTAAAGATTTTCACATAAGTATTATATAGTATTATATTTTAACAGCTTGCGTACGAGTCCGCAACACCACGGGATACATTTTTATGTATCTAATATGGCTAGTAAACACATCAAGTTTCTGGCTAATATTTTAGTGTTTTCATAATATCTGGCCTAAAACAATTCATAGAGAATTTGGCCTCTTAAATTATTCAATTTATTATTCATTTCTATTTTGAATACAACATGTATACCCCCAACCCCATTCCCACCCCCAATCCCATTCCCCACACCAACTCCAACCCCATCCCTCGTCTCTTATCTTCTATCTCTTACCCTCTATCTCCTATATCCTATCACATAGAGATAACATTCCCACCCTCATTTTCATCCCCATTCCCACCCTCATGCGAAGGACACATAAGGATAAATGTTCGGTGTTGGTGTCGATTGTGCTCCAAAGTAAAAACAAAACTCTAATCTCTCTTGTCTTATCAGATAAATCAGCTGTTTTTTTTTCGTTATGATAACCGGGTACACGGGCAGCTAGTATATATATATATATATATATAAATGAATATCTGTCAGTTTCTTTGTTTGTCCTTTATGCATTAGTACACCATTCATCTGATCGCCGAAAAACTTTGGGAAGTTGTTGAGTACATTCCCGCAAACCTAAGTGGCATAGTACTTTTTGAAAAAACAAACCCCTAAGGGTGGCATCAAACACGAACTTTGTACTTTAAATGCGAAATGTAAATAAATGAAATGTTTGTAACCATGGTAACCACGGTACTCAAGCAAACGGTAGGTGATGATTAAAGGAACAGGCCGATTCTATGTTCAACGATTCTGGGCAAACTTTCGACTGTTGGAACGGGATCTGGGACCGGGACTGGGACCCTTGAGTAAGAGGAGGACATAATAACCGGAAAAAGTGTTACAAAAACGCTGTCATGCTGTTATCTGATAAGAGATAGGAGATTGGAAATTAGAGATGAGGGATGAAGATGAAGATGGGGAAGGGGTGGGAATGGGGGAATGGGAATTATTTTACTCAGCCCTGGCAGACTAAATCTCGGGCAACGCCGGGTATGTTAGGTTAGGTTAGGCAACAGCTTGTATATAATATATTGTATTTTATATATTCAATTTGTAATGCACGATCAGCCCATGGTGCTATCTGACACATTAGACTTGGCAGGTTTGGTTTGGAAGCTTATAGTGTGTCAGGCAAGATCTATCGTTATAACTGACTTAATTAAATAAAATGAATGAATTAATTATCAACTAAACAATTTGTATACAGATCAGCCCGATTCTATGAATTTATTTAATTTATTGTGGACGTTGGTCGATAACAAAGTCAAACGTGTTGACAAAATCAAGGTATTAAAGTTCTCAAATTAACTAGTATAAACTCTAAATGATATATATATATACCAACTACAGGAACATATCAAAACTGTGGTTTTATATGCGTTGGTTCCCTGTGCCTTTTTTGAAATTATTCTTTTTCATACGATTATTAAACTAATGAAATAGCTAAAATTTGATATATTTTTCAAAAATTTAACCCCATTCCACTGAACTGTACACATGAAAGGTGCATAATGCATATTTTTCAAGTAATAAAAGTGACCCGCCTCGGAAGCCGCCATTTTGAATCCGTTTTCTTATTTTACTTACCGCATCTAACTTTATTAAGTGATTTTTTCTGATAGGTCAGGTCATTGCTGTTATAAGCAATCACTCTGTATAAATACATTGTTTTCAGGTTAAAAAACTCACTTTTTTGGAAGTAACGTTGTACCTAGATGAGTTTGAGGAACTCTTCAAATCGCATGATCAAAATGGATATATTTATCTTAAACAGCTATCGGGATTTTTCGGTTATTGGCAAACTATAAATTATGCATTACACAAAAAATTTAAAAATCTTGAAACCGATGGTAAGTCGAGGTAGCGATAAACATGATGTACAATAATTTTAGTTTTTAATGCAATTTTAGACTACACTGTAATGAACGCGGTGGATTTCTTGTTGACTATAATGGATATCAAACCAAAAGTAAGCGCAATACGCCAGCAAAATTTTAACAAAGAAGGAAAATAAATTCTCTAGATACATTAAATAGAAATTTTCTAGATGAGGAATTAAAAAAAAAAAAAAAAACAAACAGTTCCTATGATTTTTATTTCTTTTGAAATTATTTTTAATATATTAAAAGAACTCGGTCTAAACGTAAATAACACATTTAAAAAACAAAATAAGATACAAAAAGTAAATAAACTATAAATCGTGAAAAAAATTAAATAATTCAATTTTTTTTTAAATTGTACTGTCGCCCTGACTGTACATTTTTCTTTTACAATGTTCTTTTTTTTTCATGTTTTTAACTCGTATCTCTTTTGTTATTTTGATTTTCCGTGAAGAGGACGGCATATCCTTTAAAATAATCGTATAAAAGTGCGTAGGCCTGAGCGAAATATTCATAGAAACAAATTGTTAGACCGGTTAAAAAAAAAAGGAGCTAAGTTTTCGCGTAGGTTTTATTAAAAACCTAAATTTCACTATGAATTCAAGCACTTAAAAAAATTAAAAAATATCTGAATATAAATAATAGCTTTGAATGTTTGGTTGATAACATAAAAACAAAACGACGAGAGAAATAAGATAAAGTTCTCATTATTTTATGTTGAATATTATTGATATGTTGATGTTTATTAGTTGAATATGCCTGTAGCTCTGTTAAGATGACTTTTTTTTTTAAATCGCTGTCAAAGATGCTGTGGTAGAAAAATAAATTAACTACCAAAAAAAAAAACCCCCATAACTACTGAACTAATAATTACACATTACAGTTTAACATTTAAATTACGAATTTGCAAAACATTGCCTATACTTTAATCTTGAAAAATAGGCGTAGTGGGGTCAAACCACATACTTATTAAGGTGTAAAGTATATGCTTTTTTTCGCAATATCTAATTAAGAAAACTTTTTTTTTTTATATGGACAGCAATGTTTTCCATCAAACCATTTATTGCGTCTAACCATTGAACCATTCGAATACCTACTGTGATTTTTTTATGTGAACAAAAAGGTCAACAATTATTTCATCGTTTATAAGACGATTAGTTCAATGGTGTTTTGTGGGAATCTAATTTTGAAAACAGTACTAAAAACCGTTCTAAGTACAAAAATTATCTTTTTATAAAATACATAAACTACTCAAACGTAATCATTTCTATCGTCAAATTTACGCTAGACATTTTGAATTTTCCATGTTTATGATTTAATTCGGTTTATTTTTATTTGATTATTAACACATTTCAATAGGCTATTATCGCGTTTTGGCACAGTGCTTGAATTGATACTTTTTCAATACATTGTAGGGCCGTGGTCTGACACTAGCACAAATAGAAATGTTTGTTGATTTGTACGGAGCACACAAGACATCCGACGGCATTGACGCTGACGCGAGTGGAGAAGTGTTCCAAACGCTTGGTATACAAATAGAAGACGATTTGAAAAACCTATTGACGTCCAAACGTAAGAATTTTTTTCATATATTTTACCAGGTATGATAAGCGAATGGAGTGAACTACTAATTTGTTAAAACTCGTACAGGATCCCCTGAAGTATTGTTGATGGATTTAATAATCGTCGCGGCAGAACGCAACATAACCGTTCCGAAAAATGTAATTTCATTCATAATTTTTTTATAACTTTTAATGTTCAACGACGTAATGTTTGTTTCGCTGTCTCTCCATTAACAACTATTGCACATTTCTACATTAACAATTGTTCAGGAAATAAGAGTATACACTGTAATCGAGGTCGTAACTGGCACTCGACAATTCATGAAGATGGACAAAAACGGAGACGGTCTACTATCTCCGGACGAGTATGCTGCAGACTTTGAGTACGAGTCAACGCGTGATTTGGCATCGTCAAAAGAGTCGCCAGAAGTCTTCGATAGAGCGCAACATTATATAAATAACATATTCAAAGGTGAAGTTAAATGGTTAAACAGTGTTCAAATGTCATCAAAGACGATTGTCGTCGGTTATCGCCTGATAAAAAAAAATGAATTTTACTTTTTTTAGCTAATAAAGCCATAAACGTCGCAGAGTTTACTGAAATTTGTTTGTTAACGGTTAAATTAGAAGACCGCGTTGAATCCGACGACGATGACTGAAAATTCACAATAGTATATATATTTTTAATTGGACATGTTTAATAATCATAATGATAACAATACGAGTAATATTTGGCCCAGTTTTCATGTAATTATGTAATACATGTATATAATTGTTTCTTCTATACATTTATTACCAAAATATGTTGTTATTTGATTTCAGTTTATTGATAAAAAAATTAGTTATGTGTATTCCTGGTGTTTTTTTTTTTTTAAGTTTCTTAATATCGTTGTAAACCTTAACTCTGCCTTTATACACAATGCAGAAAGAAACTGATTAAAGATGATTTTTGAATAAAATATCAGAGACGATTTTAAAACCTTAAGATTATTGTTATTATAGAGTTTAACTGAAAATGATTATAGGTAAGTACAAAATTATGCAGAGCAGATATTCGCGGTGACGTTGTTAATTGAACAAACAAGCCAATTGCATCTGCCTAATAGGTATATTTGAAAGTGATTTTATCACTTTCACATTTAATAATTCCTGTAAACCTGTGACCTCCCCGTCCCCACTATGCCCCGACCCCACTGTACTGGGTTTTTTTTTAGCATGGGTTAATAGATTGAGTAACATAAAACGGTTGTTTTCGGTACAGTAGAAACATTTGTATCAAATTTTCAGCAAAAAGTGTTGCTTTGGGATTAAAACACTAAAGGATGTTTTTCAATAAAATGCATCAGCTTTATTTTTGTACATTACCATTACTCTGTATGTATTCACGCGAACAAAATACTAATAGGACTTTCAGAATTTGTTTAATGCATCGAGTAGTTGATAAAAAAAAAATGATTGGGAATTATTCCGAACTTGATAATATTTTTTGGATACGTGCCCTGGACCAACGGTATCTGATTAATTATTAACTATTTAAAATAAAAATGTTTCTAATAATTGTATCTTTAATAGTACAGTGATGTTAAATAATGTTGTTTGTTCTTTAGATTAAACAAATTTTAATTTTTTATAAATACAATCAATGAATAAATTCTAATCTAAATATTTATGTTTGTCATTGCGTACTACTAATGTTAAGAATAATTGGTTTTACTCGTTTCTTTAAGTTTTGTTGGATCAGACTTCAATATAACGAGTATAAACAATGAAGAAACAACAACTAGAACAACCAAATACCGTGTCAGTAATTAAACAGGAGGTCGATGATATTGATAACAATTGTGTTTTCATATCTGAGATGGAAATTGAAGAAAATCAAGAATTAGCAGTTATCCGTGGCGAAGACGTGCATCCTCATTACACTAAGTAAGAATTGTACAAAACATAGAAATGGTTTCATCAAATATTTATTACTATTAAGTTATTAACATAATATTTTTTAACTATTCTTTTAGCACTACACTCAATAGTACAATGAAATACAATGAAATTCAAACTGAAGAAAACCCATCCAAATCAAATAGCCAATACATTGTGATGAACACAGCCGAAAACCCATTTCAGTGTGAATTAGGCTTGTAGACGATTTCACGGTCTGAAGATCTAAATAAGAACAGAATGACACACACGGGCGAAAAACCTTTTCAATGTGACATTTTCACAGTTAGGATGTCTTAAGAAACACACAAAGAAACATACGAGTGTAAGGCCTTTTCAATGTAAAATAATATGTAAGAAGACATTTTTATATTCTGGAACTCTTAAAGTTCACAAAAGGACGCATAAGGGCAGAAAACCATATCAATGTGATATATATGTAAAAATACATTTTCTCAATCTGGAACTCTTAAAGTTCACAAAAGAGCACACACACAGACGAGACTCGACAGACTATTTTAATGTATGATATGTAAGAAGAAATTTTCACTATCCGAATCTAACCATGTTAGCAAATCTAAACAGCCACGAAATAATTAAAAAATGTGTTGAGTAACACGTTCAGTTTTCTAGTAAATATATATATTTTTGACGTTATTACTATCTGTGTTTTGCAGATGATCATTGAAAAACATTTTCCTATTGTATTCTCTATTTGCATTCAAACCCGCACTCCACAAATTTCGTCGCAATTATTTTATTTACTACATACCGGTACTGTTTTTAATTTAGTTTCTAAGTAAGTTTTTTTATTTCATATTTAAAGTTGTCTTACCGACCACGTCGACTTGAGAAATGAGTAATTATGTACATTTACGTCTGATGTTATAATATTATACAATGAAGGCCTAATTTAAATTTTAGTCTTCAGTAATCTGGAATCAGTTTTTTTGTGGAAATTTTGTCAAGTTATTTGGTCTCAAACGTTTAAAACGGAGAACGCTTTTAATCCAGATATGAAGAATTGCCAATTATAAACTCTAGGTAAAAAAAAAACATTGAAACTAGAACAAATAAAAATATAAATAAAATGAGAAAGTATTTCATTTAAATCACTATTCAACGTAACTTCCTTAAGTAATATTCAGTGATGTTGTCCTATACAAACGGCATGGGTACACTGTATGGGTATAAAATAATTTTGAATAATGTGTGTTTATTGTTTATGTATTTGTTAAGTAGGATAAACAGGGAAAAACGACCACAGCTATCAAAAATAGTTTAAATAATTATGTGTGAATATAATATAATTTTCCGTTTTTCGACTTTTCTATGAATTTTCGCCTCTTTTTGTGTTTTCTAAGCGTTTTTTACTCCTACTCTCATGAGCAACAATGTTCCTTTAATTTCATTGCTTAACACTTGACCAGTTTCTAAATGAGGCGTATAACAAACTTGGCCACAATTTATTTTGTAGAAACATCTTCACACGTCTAATATAAATATTACACTTTTATTTATTTTTATTAAATTTACTTATTTTAAAATTATGTTATTTTACATTCGATACTTATATGTATTTTTATACCTACCTATTTTCACTCACTTTTGTAGTTTAAAATAAAAAACACATCATTGTAAATACAATACCTACTCAGCTCTGTGTAAAAGTAATTTTGACCTATTTTAGAACAAAAAGCTAGACAAAATGTCAACTAACTTAACATTTCATTTAAACTGGATGCATCATTCAGAATTTATCACAATAATAAAAAGTATTGTGTAGCCATTGAAGGTAGTAAAATATAAACGAGTGGAACATAATGTTGATGGTTAATCAGTTGGTTTTGTTATTGTATAAATAAAACAATGACCATTATTTTGTTCAATGAGTTGAGATTATAGTTCAGTTAAAAATATAACAAATGTATTATGTACAATGTTCTAAAATTCTATGTTGTTGACATTAAAACAATTTTATCAAACACAGAAAAACACTTATTGTATGAAATAAATCATATTCCACAGCAATGCGTAGGCTTTAATTAAGGGCGCATTAAGACACTAATAAATAAGAAGTTGTCTTTCCGATCACTTGGACTTAAGAAATAAGTAAGTAGCACATATATAGTTCTATCTGTATGAAAGTAAATTTTTGAAGTAGAGCAGTGATATTTACTTTTGTAAGTATTTGTATTTAACTGTAACGGTGAAAATTTTAAAAAGCATTTAAGACATTCAGTCTTAATCCGACTTTTTACAATTTTATTTAAAATATAACATATAATTATATAAGCTATGAAGAATTGCGGTTTACAAATTCTAAGGAAAAAACTTTTTCTAAAAAGGTGAACCAAATAGTTAAACAAATTTTTACTACAAGAATAATTGTGACAATATGTACATAGCAACATTGATAAAACCAGTAGGAATCCTACAAGCTATTGCACAGCTATGGAATACATAATCATTGTCTGTGCAAAAGATACTTTATGTGCTGCCATAAAACTGGTTATGGGCTACATAATGAAGTCATGGACCAAGATATGTAACACATAGCATTAAGACTGTGCACAAGGGCATGAGGTTTTATTAAACGAAACTGTTGGGAGTTCAACAATACTTCTTGTTAACTTTTTCAAATGACAACGTTTATTTTTAATTCCATACATTTGTAGACAAAACGGTTTAAAATATGTTATCGTTTGAATTTTTAATTTTTATCCATATGTTCGTTCGTTAGCTATGACTTTGTAAAGATATTACATTTTCTCCTAAATATTGTCATATTTCTTCGGTGTCAACAATGAAATTATGTTTTAAGATAATGGTCGACCATTAGGGTTGGAGATACAAATGTAGTACAATGTGTACCTATAAGTATAGGACGTTTTTTTTTTTTTTAAATGTTCAAATTTTCCGAGAAAACTATTGGTGTCTTACCCAAAATGAATCACCACGTATGCTTGGGCACCGCTGAACTGGTCTTTTTGATGAATATACAAACATTTATTAGCAAAAACCTTTACCATCGATAGCTGTGGGTAATATAAAAGTACACGGCCGAAAACTAAACGCTTTTTTTTAGAAAATGTATATGTCACATGAGAAACAAAATATTTCTACCACAGTCGTTAGCACGGTGAAATTGTTTACTCAACTTGGTTTTTACAATACACGTCGGATGAAACATAGTATAATTTTATTTCGCCTAACACGATTGTGTGAGTTCAAGGAAGACGTCCAATCACTAAGAGTTTTTCACTGGCCTATCAAGTAAGTTACTTGGTTCATACGAAAAAGCTAATTAGTCGTTTAATTAAATTCAATAAAATAACAAACTTCAGTATCACATAAGGAGTAATAATACAAATAACACAATTGAAAATCTTAATGTACAATTTGTAAATATTTTAAATAAACTCGACTGCTTTATCGGAAAACTTCCTCGTTGTAATTAATTTCATTTGTGTTTAATGGTAATAATGTTAATAATTCTAGTTCTTTTGTTGAGGGATAATATGACTTATGTCAATATCTAAAACTTAATATTTAAAATAAAATTTCAACATTATCACAGTTTGTCGAGAGTGAAGTATAATTGTTTAAGATTGGCAAACATTTGGAAAATTGGTTAGTTTTTTACAGAAAAAATCCCAAAAATGTTTTTCTTGTATAAATCAATTAGTATACAAAATTGTTGGACATATTTTATTCCTCCTTGTAATTATTTTATTTCATTGGCTTTATGTTGTTACCGGAAGGTCTATGTAAATTATTTTACTATAAACTTTTTACTTTGTTGATTGCAATAACTGGCTACAATTTTATGAGTTGCTACGTAGTTAGGCAATGTTATTTTATATAAAT